GGAGAAAAAAACTTGGTGGCCGCACCGAAAACAAGTGTGATGCAAAGATCACAAATGCAAGGGTATATCTTTCGCACAAGTCCGCATCCGAATATCCTGATACGACTTCTAAAACACCTTATTTCAACAGACGTAATACGCCAAACCTTAAAACGAGAGATTCAACTGGGTTCTCATTAAGCCGTCCGTCGAAACTAAATTGATATGCAGATGAGCGTATAAGTCGAATTTTACTTGAGTGTAATTCGTGTTTCGGTTGTGTAAACCCATTAAAAATGAGGCAGTGCAAACCTACTCTATGCTGGCAAACATCGTTCAGCTGTAGCACCTTTTCGGTGCTTAAATGCCATACCACCAAAAGGAAACACGAGGGCTGGGATACTGCCAGGTTGCCCAAGCCTAGACAGGGGAAGTTGAGAGTCAGAGCTTGGATTCGGACCACGGACCTTGTGGTCATTAAATTCGCGTTCTAACCACTCGCCCCAAACATTGTAAGCAAATCCATGCGAAAACCTAAAATATACAGTGCAGGCACGAGTGTACACAGGGTCGATCAACTCCCGTTCTGTACCTTGATTTCGTTTTCCAGCTGTTTATCAAAAGACACGGTAGCTCCAGACAACCTGTCATCGATGCGTGAGGATGACAGTGGGAAGAAGTGTTACGAGCTGGAAACTCGTCTTGATGAATCCTATGAATCAACTTGGGGACAGCCCAAATTATATCTAACGTTGAATATGCAAAAGTTAGCTTTACTAACTTTGTGAGGGGGCGAGATGGCACAAGTGGTTGGAGCGCGAATTTACTGACTGGAAGATCCATGGTTCGAACCCGACCTCTACTACTCGACTTACCCTGTCCAGGCCAAGGCAACCTTGCAGTATCCTAGTCCTCGTGCTACCTCAGGGTGACATGGCAGCTAGGCACCGGAAGGGTGTTGCAGCTGGACGATTATTATATTACTGATCACTAACTTTGTGATAAGCAGAGTGTGAATTTTCCACTCATCAGCTGAGACGCGACCGTGTCAATATCCGTCCATATCTTGGGGGAATGGATGATACTAAAAAGTACCTCTCAGTGGAGGCTATTAGCAACCGCGTTTCCGCATGTGTTTCAGAAACAGTAGCCAGATAAACCAATCTTTGTTCTGCAGGCTTTCAGTCAGTGAAGAATGAAGTGAACGGTTCAGTCCATGCCATAAACTTTCGAAAGAGGCTGCCCAAGACCAACAAGAAGCCGCCTTTTTTGAGAAGTAGTCACTTCAAGTGGGAACTGTCTCCGAGGAACAAAACTTCTAAGTGTAGTGGGAATTCCTCAAGTGGACTACAGCTGGAAGGAGATATTCCCCTCTATTCAGGAAGATCAACAAGTAACGCAGCCTTTTTTTGGCAAACTCACAGCTGCTGTTTCGGTAATCCGGAGGCCAATAAACTTCCATCTTTCGTCAAATCGTCGGTTGTAATGCAACGCAAAACATCCGCTGAGTGAAATCGAGAAAGTGAACAAAACAAAACCCAGTAGTTGGGTTTAGAAATAGCTCCAATACCTCTAACCTTCCCACGGAACAGTGAGAGCCATAGCTAATATTTGCCACAGATTGAAGGGTACGTCAGGGAAGGTGTACAGCGAAAAACCAGGTTTGATTGGTTAAAATGGATCGTTCGGACTTGATAGCATCCAAATAGACCTGAACGACAGAATTCCTTCGGAGAGAGAACACATCTTCAAGAAGTCCACAGCGGCATTGCACGTGACCCATAGCACGGTGTGCAATTACCACGAAAGGTGGAAACCACTCCAGCGGTAGTTAATTGCCCCCTTTTTCCGTGATGGTTCCTCTTTGCGGATGATCAAACTTTCAACAAGATCACTCTCCCTCTTAACTTGGTTAAAAGGAGGCCATTTGAGCCGCAGTCATAATTGACTCTGTGTGAACGGACCAATAATAATGGTAAGAAACTAATCGCTCATTCGTAACACCCTTTCAATGCATAGCTGCCACGCCACCCCAAAGAAGCACCAGAGCTGAACTACTGCCAATTTTTTAAGCCTAGACTGCAAAGGTTGGGTTCGAACCACGTACGTTCAGGTCGTTAAGTTCACGCATTAATCACTAAGCCGTCTCGAGCTATCAGCTAACTAAGCCAGAGGATAAAACTAAGTCTCGGTGAGAACGATTCAAACCGAAAACCCACAGCGTTGGAAGTGTTCCTTTGAGTATTCAATCAACAGCGTTTATAAGCTGAACTGCGGCTTGGTCCGGTTAGACTAATCATCGAGCGAACGGTAGACGAGATGGAAATCAACAGAACCAAAACTACGCAAGAGACCTGGTACAAACGGTTGAATTTAATGCAAACACGTGGTGACCGATGCGACAAAACCACGGTGAGAAAAGTTCACTCGTCCGCGAAATATAAATACCTGTTCACAGGGAGGATAGACTGCAGTCGGTCGTGCTCGTTCTCCAGCCACAAAGTCGGCCAGTTTTTGGAAACGTTCGCTTTCAATTTGCTGCTGTAGTACACACGCCCATTCAGGGTGCAGTCCTTGGATCAGAGTGAGCACAGAACGTGTTGGTCGTGAGGCTAATTTGCGTTTGATTTCGGCTAGCTTTTTGTTCAAGTCCTCGCGTCCAAGCGCAGATGTACTGGACTTGCCGAGGGGAAAACTCCCCCACGCTGACGGTGGTGGCGACTTTATCTGTTGAGCTGTGTCTTGTAAGAAAAACGGAAAACGTTCAAAGAATAAGAAACTTGGGGTCTGCACAGGATGATTGATCCATCAGTATTCACTAGTTGACGACCATTATGGAATCGAACTATCACGGATGACAGAGCTGGTCCTTGCGTGTCGAATGGGTTCGATAGCCTCAGGTGTTTTTGGGTTGTTTTCAGGGATGGGCAGATGGAAACGACTGTCATCGGAATAATTACGCCAGAACAGGAACGAGAGTGATGTGGCTATGAACATTATGGAATCGAACTATCACAGATAACAGTTCTGGTTCATGCGTGCCGAATAGGTTCTAAGATGGGCGGATGGAAACGACTCTCGGACCAACAACTCAAGGAACGAGACCCTACAGAAGTCACCCAAAAAAGGATCGCAATATGGAACCGGAAGAGGTCTATGTCACATCTCACAAGAACATCGGAAAATCAATGAAGGTCAAGGTCATGTTGCAACCAATCAAATCAACCGATCCCAAAGGACACAAACTAACGATCCAACCAACAGAATCACCTACTAATATTTTGTTTCACAATGCACGGAATACCCAACTTTGATTGGTCATGCAGCTCAGTGAACGAGCCGACGACCACGTATGCAATCGTTCGGCTGTAGCACCCTTTCGAGGCCTAACCATCTTGCCACCCAAAGGAAGCACGAGGGCTGGGATAGTGCCAAGTTTTCCAAGCCTAGACAGGGGAAGTCGAGAGACAAAAATCGGGTTCGAACCACGGACCTCGTGGTCAGTAAATTCGCGTTCTAACCACTTGAGCCATCTCGCCCCAACCTGCCTTACTGATGTTCTTCTCGATAGCATTAGCTGGTGAACCATCATTATGTGTTCGCCAACCTAACACACACACACAACAAGCAGAGCAGCCCCTCAGACAGGCAACTCGATACACACAAGATAATCTTTCGACGTGTAGCTAAAATACTTTTGTTGGCGCATCCTACTTAGACCATTTACTCGTCCTTTGTTTAGCCACGCTGTAGATGCATCTCTCCCAGGTACGGAGGCTGAAACAGCTTCAAAAGCAATGAAATCGCAAGTGAGTTGAAAAATTGACCTAGTTTTTTCATGCAAAAGACTTATTTTGGATGAGTACCGCCGGGCTAGATCACTTGGTTGAGATTCTGAACAATCAGAGAACACGTACATTTGGGGGGCAGTGACCAGTGGCTTTTGGATGGCTTGTCGCCGGGCCGAGGGGTTAGCAAAAGGACACAGAGTGTCCCGCACAAGGGGTTCGGTCTGTCTGGACACTACTAGATCACGTGACAATCTGCTTGTACCTCACATCATTTGTCATTGATATTCTCAATGAAATCTGAGGCAAATCCAGCCGTTGCCACTGAAGCAACTAAGGGTAAGAACGATTCCGTATACGTCCGCATTTTTAAACCAAAACTGAACAAGGTCAAAAGTGCAAATACCAGTAATGGAGACGACACGGGCTACGGAAGGCAGACATATGCCGCCGAACTGTACCATATTGACCAGGTCGGTACACCGGAACAAGTGTGCAGTTGATGAATTGTAAAAACTTTCACCAGGCAAACAAGGTGAATTACCAGCGGGTGCCACTTTGTGTTTCTGCAATTTGTGTAGGCTACAATAATGCCTTTGCGTGTGCGAGTGGGTGGACAGACGGACAGATCGATGTGCACGTCACATTGGTGCAGGTCGTGTACCGCAAACAAACTCAAGAGTCGCATCGACGTCCATGTTGAGATTGACTATGAAGAACGATGGTGACAAAAACAGCGGACAAATAACGCGTATGTCGCTCTTGATACACGTAAAACTAGCAGAATTCCAAAATCAACAAATCTAACAGTGTGTTGGATTCAGAACACAAGTAAGGGTTGAACATGGGTGCCATTCGGGTGATATGATTGGAGCCCGTAAAGCTTAGCCAAGGGTATCTGACCCCTGCTATGAACCCATTAGGTGGACGTAAGATGGCGGCAGTTTGAAGCAACTTAGTTGAGACCCATTGAAAATTTTCAACAATATGTGGTTCTGGGATGACGAACCCAAGGTTGGATGGTTGAAAGGTGAATCGAACCAAAATGGTAGAATGTCTGAGATGCGTTGTTGGTCAGGTGCGAAAAATTAGAAAGGACAAATTGTTCCCAATTCCACCTACCGCTTTCCACACGTGGACGTTTTGTACTTTCCACGTCGTCGTCCACATTGGGTTGTCCATTTGTGTTAGAAGGACAAATCTCCTCCAGGGCACGCTTTTCAGGGGTCCGGGCAGACTTTGGTGTCTCTGCCGGACTAGCTGGAGTGATCGAATTCTCTTTGGCATCTGGCAACTTCGCCACAGCTTTCGGACTGGTGAAAAATGCCGTCAAAGGTTTCTGGTTCACGTATGGTAACTTGGGCATGGCAGCTGAAACATGAGGAAAGCAATGTTGGATGAAATGTGAACGAATAAGATGAGCGTGATCAGGGCTTCTTTGGACAAGATGGTACGGATCTATTGATAATTTAAAAAAAAACCCATCCCAATGTTCCCTCGATTTTGTTAATAAATAATAACCAGCGAGGATACAAAAGCGATTACGTGCTCTATCAGGGCTTCTTTGGACAAGATGGTACGGAGCTATTGATAATTTAAAAAAAACCCATCCCAATGTTCCCTCGATTTAATTTGTTAATAATAACCAGCGAGGATACAAAAGCGATTACGTGCTCTAAGATTTTTCAACACTTAGAGTCTCAAGACGAAATTCAAAATGGAAGTCCTAAAAATCTCTCAAGACCCGACCAAGAAAACATCATTCAAGTTTGAACAATCCGCACCGATCTGACTGCGATACCGGATTCCAGTACCGCCACACAGAAGCTTCCATCCACAAAACCCTTTGAACAAACAAACGGTTGTGAAGACCGAAAATTCGAAACCCGCATTTCCTCCGGGAAACAAACGTCCAACTTGGTGCAGGAAAATTTCGTAGCGTTAGCAAAATCCTGTAGCATTCTGGCGGACGGCGGAACAGCAGTCAAACAAATACCAGTCGACACACAATGACCTTGATCTCATAGCGTTCCTTGAAGCCTAGTTCAACTCTTCAAAATTTGGGTAACGATTTGACAACTGGGCGGCTGGATGTGAATACCGCTCACATCATTTGCTTGACCACGAGGAAATTACTCCTTTTTCATTGAAAGGACCAGTGGCCCTAGCGAAGTACGACAGAGCAATCGGGACATTGATGGGATCTTTTCCAGATAAGCCCCGCCACTAATACAAAAGGTGCATGTGCGAAAAGTCAAGCCCCGCCACTTTTTTCCCAGCTCCAATTTAATGTACGCACACAACCTTGACCTATTTTTGAGGAAAACAATTCCTTATCCGCATTTGGGCTCATTTTGTGCAAAATTTTCGCCGTTCGGACTTAAAACCTTAAATGAACTTTCTGACGCCTTCAACTCTTGTTCACGACAAGAAGACGGCAATACGTTTTTTGCAAAGCCACAGAGTGATCCATCAGCAACGTTGATGCAACAATGGTGACCAAATGACACTTTCAACTGTTTCTGACAAGTGGAGGTGTAATGCCCGACAGTGTCGGCAAGAAATCGGTCTTCGGAAGGGAACTTGGCTGGAGCGGTCTAGGATGGAATTTAGGACAGCAATTCTATTCATTTATTGCTGGTCCAAAAATTTGGCAAAAATCAAATTCTGCTCAGAGGAATTATCTATTAGCCACACGACCGCTGTTGAAGAATTTCCCTAGCGAAGTTTGCGCCTGGCGGTTTTTGTAGACTCCAACAGTTATCGGCGGCCCAGGTCTACACGTCGAGATCGATGAAACGCTAATATCTCGCCGTAAAAACCACGCAGGGCGAGTCCTTTCCCAGCAGTGGATTTTCGGAGGGATCTGCCGGGAAACTAAACAGGTGTTCATGTATGCAGTGCCAGATCGAACTGTGGCCACTTTGGTGGACACGATCCAGGACTGCAACGCTCCCGGCTCAATCATCATCTCCGATATGTGGGCATCATACCAAGGAATTGAAACGACGGTTGACATAAATTATACTCATTAAACAGTTAATCATACCGAAAACTTTGTGGGTCTAACCACTGGAGCTTACACACAAACCATCGAACCCCCTTGACACGTCTACAAGACAGCTACTCGTGTTAGTTCGTTTGGAGACAAAGGTACCGAAAAACGGACCTTTTCATGAAAATTATTAAGGACATGTCCCAATTTCACCCTCCTCACTAAAACTAAAAGGACAAACTTCCTGTCCGCTTTTTTCTGATCTTTTTCGGGCTGCGGGACTTAATTTTTGGAGGGGCTTATCTGGAAAAGATCCCATTGAGGTCACGTATGGTGATCGATACAGTTCAAAACGAGGGAGATATCAAGGAGCAACGGAATGAAGGCGCAAGTGATTGTAGAGGAATTATCCATGGGAGAAGATACCTTTACTCTAAAGGAGATATCTGGCCAAAGCACGTCAAAAAATTCCGACCACGCAGTGGAAAAACATGTCAAATTCTGTCGCTGGCTGAAAATTTCGGAGAACGTATGAACCTTCGTGTAAAACTCGGATTCAACAGCTCCAGATATCAAAAATTAATGTCGCAGTGGAGTGGGAAGAAAGCATTGTGGACACTCGTTTGGAGTAGCAGACAAAACAGATTTTCAGCGTGGACAAAATTGCACAGAGATATTTTCTTGTGTCTCAGCGTGTTTTATCCTGTCTGAACTAAGGAAAGTAGCGGAGCGTTTGACCCGCAATGCAGCAGCGTTAACGAGAAACCTGTTATTAATAACCAAGATCGGGAAAGGTACTAATGCTCGCTGTTGCAAGAACAGAACCTGATTAGGCGTTGATGACGCATCAGATGGGGAAATACCTTATCTGGATTACTAATGGATACCTCCAGTAGTAGTATTCAACCGGACCAATATCACACGCCTCTATATCCACCAGGATAATATCGGGTCTCATTTTTAGGCTGTGGTTTGGAACCGACTTCCTACGTCATCAGTGATGAGAAAAGTAACGATAAAGAATCCGATAAAGTTCTGAAGGTGTGGGGATGACAGTGAACTAAGTGTTAGATGGAGAAATGACAAGTGGTCATTGTCCTGAATCTGCCAAGGGTTGGAGGACAATGAGGGTGGAGGGGGGGGATTAAAACTGAAGTAGATCCTTGAAGATATTGAGCATTGGCGAAGACGCATCCGAACCCAGGATGGATAACCGAATGGGGTTGGATAGTCTGCATATCTTCATTCGTCACGGAAACGGTTACAACCGGAAGTAGACAATCTCGTACAACGAAGTATTCTGTGGAAAGTTGCTGACTTTATATGCATTCACTGGTCATGAATGCTTCCAAAGCTTGTCAATGACCTTAGGGAAGA